GAGTTTCGTGATTATATATATTCTATCAATCACCATCAAACTATTCAAAGAACAGAAGGTTTTAGTCCCTTACTCGGTCATTTTCTGTGACTAATTGCTTGGTCTTTTGTTTTTTTTTTTCTTTCTTTTTGTTCGTGCATATTGGTTTTAAAAATCTAGGCTAAAGCTGCTCAACACTATCCATGTCCATTATCCTTTACAGCCATGATGGTTTTGGTGGCATCAATTTTGTGTTTTATCACAACAATTGTAATGCAGCGTGAATGGAATCAATGAAAGTTAGGAAGGAACACAAGACTCCTCACAGTTGCTTATTCGCTGAGTCATTTAATTATAAACTTCTAATCACAATATTGATTGTCTTTATAAGAAGTAAAACTCGAAGACGGATGACTAAATTTCGAAAATGGATTAAAAATGTTTTTGCGGCCAGGAGGGTCAAAAATATATATTGAATTATAGTACAAAAATAGTTGACTATTTTTTTATTTTTATTTTAAGTGGTACCTGTATTAATTAGAAGTACCAGTTGGGTCTATTTTAAGTGCACTTAATTTTACCTTCTTTTTTTTCTGGTGTTTTTTTGGTTAATAGGGAATACTTTGGTACTGCAGTTGTGTTCACTTTGATTAGTTGGCGTGGCAATATGAGGTCCAGTTTTTTTACGCAGCTTTCAACATTTTATCATCTGTTATCGTGGCCATAGTTGCATTTCTTGTTTTAGAGGAAGAGTTGCATTTGGGAAGGTAAGTTGAAGAAGATGAGTCAACTATTTCTTCTATCACACCTCTTATCAAATTAATTGCAACCTTAATTTCTTACCCCAAAACCAAAATAATCAAAAGAACTATTCCCTCCATCCTAAAAGAAGCCACATTGCTCTTTTTCTGGGAGAAAAGATATACTTATTTTGTTTTCATAGTCAATGAATGAAACACGAATTTCATTTCAAATTTTTCACATCCGACTCATACGTGTATAATGTCAATAACAACTTGAACTCCAATCTCAAGACCGATTTGGCAATGAGTGGAATGATTCAAAAAAACTTATAAATAGGTCTCAGCTTTCACACGCAAGTGATGTGAGATTCTTTTTGCAACACTTTCTCTCAGACCTAATAAACTTTTTAATCCACGGAATTCTTTTTACAACACCTTCACACACTGACAATGTGAGATTCTTTTCCTAACGCACGCCCTCTCTCAAGTTCAATGGTTTTTTAGTCCAATGGAAGTGTACAATAATAATATAATTCACCAGTTATTGATGGATCAAAAGATGGATAACAAAGGACAATGGACTCACACGAGTCCATAAGACAAAAAAATAGAGGACAGAGAACAATGGCCACACAGGTTAATAGGACAAAGCTCTAATACTATGTTAAAAATAATTTGAACTCTCATCTCAAAACCAATTAACAATGAGTGAAGTGATTCAAAAAACTTATAAACACATCTAAGATTTCACACACGGGTGATGTGGATTCTTTTCCCAAATATAACGTTATAACTTTATTTCTTGTGAGGTATTCCCTCCGGTCCTTATTATAAGGTATTTTGATTTCGTCCTAGGTTTCACCTAAGATATCTTTTTAATTGAAATAAAAACCTTAAAAACATTTCATAATAATTAGAAGATCACAACGAATGTGAAAATATATTTTTAAGATTTTTTTCTAAATAAAAAGACATCTTAGGTTAATTTAGAACGAAATCAAAATGCCTTATAATAAGGACCAGAGGGAGTATATGCTTTTTTCATCGAATATAAAAAATAAAAAATAATTTTAAAACATTAAAATTTAAGCTTTCCTGCTTTCTTAGATATGGTTTACATTTTAATTGTCAAAAGCCAGGATTCCAAATGTCATGTCTAATTTGAAATTCGTCGTTGTGCGCCTTAGATTTTTCTATATTTTTTTCACAACTTTCTTGGAAGGTTTTTAACCATTTGTGGAGCATACATCGTTTTATGGTGAAAGCAAGAAAGAGATCAGGAAAATAGAAAATATTGCCACGATCCCGGAAGAAGATGCAAAATTTGAAGATCAAGAAACTCTGAGAGTGGAAAATTCGACAGATGAAAAAAGGCTTTGTATTAGAGCATGAACTGCTTTCGATTAATCGCATTTAGTTTCATTTTTGTTTTCATGCCTCATTAATCTGGTTCATGAAATGACGTGATTTCTTGAACAATCATTTTTTGACCGAGTGAAGAAATTTTTTATATAATTAATTACAGATGTTGTCCCCCAAAAAAAGCATATTAAACTCGTCTTGTTATGGCCCAATCAGTGACTCGGGTCATATATTATAATTAATTAAGAACTCAATTAGTAAAACATCGCCATTAATTAATTTAGAGCAAAATTAAAAACGGCTTCAAGATCCATCACAAGTTCATTTTTAGAATTGGACTAGCTAGGTTTTCCCACTGATGTGGTGTTAAACCACACAAATAATTTTAAACCTACTTCAAATTACGTAATATAAGGAAGTAAGGTCGTCTCCTCAGAGAAAGATGGATTGTTTCCTTCAAATCAATGCAAATGAGAATTTTTTAATTGTTTTTCTAAATTATGATAATGAAATTCAAATAACAAAAAGTAAATAAAAGAAAAGAAACCAAAGTAACAAACATCTGACTCAAGAAACAAATCATTCAATTATTTCACTGATTATAGGTATCTAAAGTATTCCTATAATTCAAGCCATCAAGTTTAGACATACCAGGATAACGTAGTAAATCTATAATCTCCCTAAAGTAATTGACCAAACCTAACATTCAATCAACACTTATCATATACCGTTGAGCACGATAACTTTCCATGCAAATTAAATGATGGCAATAAATTCTATGGAAATATATTTGAATCATAGTCTAAATTATTGAGATAGCTGCAATAATTAAGTCTATGTTTTGTTGATCCTATTACCAGGTATACAAAAGCATCCAAGTCTCACAAATACAAATGATCCACCTAGTTACTACTAAATCCCAATGGTTCGTGTCAATTACGTAACATATAACCAAAGAAATAGTACTAAAAAGAAAATACACAATCAAGTTGTCAATTTAATTGATATTCACGTTCATGAAATAAAAACAAGAATCAACAAACTACTCAAATCATAGACAAGAATTAAATTCAAGAACAACCTCACAAGTGAAACTACTGAATTAAATCCCTTGAATCAGAAATAAAAAGGTTTAGCCTCTCATGATCATAAACATAATAGCTTGATTATTCATAGAACAAAGTACCAAATCTAGAGAATAAAATCCGGAGAAATTGGAATGCACGCCGACCTCCAAAGCCTAGAGGCGCGCACCACCCTAGAGGTAAGAGTGCGGCCAAAAACGGTGACCCAAAAAGAAGAAACCCACGGCTGCTTATACAAGTATAAATTAGGTTAGCCGCGAAATGCCAAAAGTTAGGCAGAAATTGCATGATTGGTCCTTCTATTTTTCTGCATCTTGATAGTTGGCCCAAAACTTCCTCTAATTATAAATTTCAGCCCACTATTTCTTGACTTCCAGCTTTCGCCCCAAGCCAATTTAATGCTTGTAATTAGGTCCTATAATGTAGTAAACTTTCTTCCTATTGCTCATATTGATAATTTTGCGAATAATCTTTTTTGCAGCAATTTGTCCAGAAAAGTTGTAAACTCCGATCTTCATCACCTAACACAAAACATTAATAAAATTGAATGAATTAAATCTATCCAAATCTATAAACTAATAAAATAATAACAATTAAAGCATAATTTATGGACTCTATCACCCACATATTGTTTTTTATGGGCTGACCATCAAATGGATGAACAGTCAGCTATAAGAACTCAAGATTTTTATCTTCCTAAATCTGAATCTTAATTACCAAAGAGATTATTTTTCCAATGATTTTTCCATAAGAAAAATCGACCTATCCGTCTGTCATGTTCTTCTTGCTCGTACGTATATGTAACCGCATCCACCCAACTTATTGTTTCTGGAAGACGTTGACGTGGAACTAAAAGAAGCAGTTGGTATGTACTTTCGTTGTAAGAATAATTTTCTTTCTGGTACAAAGCAACACGAATATATATATATATAGATATATATATATTCTTGTCATATTACATACATATTTAAAATCGTTAAACCGATTAATCATTATTAGAGTCAGGCATATCTCTTTCAACAGAGAAAAATTTATTTGAATGAGTATTTTAATCATTATTACATTTAATTACATGTTAGTATTTAAAGTCTGATAAATAATTGTTTTAAGTAGATTCTTACAAATTATAGTGAAATAAAGTAAGTATACAACTAAATGTGTGTATATATATATTGATGGCAAATGATAAAACGGTAAGATTCAGTAATATAAAATATAAAACAACCAATCGCATTTCTTAACATGCATGTAGAACTTCAATAAGGATGAATATGTCTTTGAATATGTAGCGCATGTATGACCAAATAATTTCGCATTGCATTTTTTTTTTCGCTCTATTAAAAGCATAATTAGTTACTGCATTATAAGACAAATCACAAAATTACAAAATATTGCATAGATCAATGATTTTAAGTGTTTGTAACATCTCATTTCTTCTTCTTCTTCTTCTTTTTCTAATAGTAAATGTGTGGCGTTTTTAGTGGAATCCAGTCTCACTTTGTTCTTAGAGACTCTAGACATAAAAGTTCCAAAAACATGTTGGCAAAGGTTATGAATTGACCATCTTAACCCTCCCCTTATCTTTGCATGCACCCTATCTTTTGTCAATGGGCTTCTCGTGAAATGACGTACAAAATTAATACATCTACATACGTACGTAATAATTGTAACCAAATATCAAACGAATCTTCTATTAATTTTTAGAAGCAAAAAGAAAACAAAAAATCAAAAAAGCCATATTTGATATCATATTCATAATTGTCATATCCTGTAGAAACATGTGTGATGTATCCATCACCAAGTCCTCCTTCGTTTTCCATTCTTTTCTTGCGCTTAAATTAAATTCCCAATTGCATGAATCGTACGATTCCCCAAACACCCCCTTATATATATAGTCCATTTCGACAATATTGCACAAAAATTAATTCCACCCAAAAAAATCTCTCCTCATTCATCTTGATTTCTCTCCCTCTGAAAATTCTTCTTCATTTTCCACATCCAAAATGGCCGACCATATTGACAAGCCTTCTCATCTTGAGAATCAAGATCAACAGAAAGCATCTGTAAGAGAAGTGGAAGTTCATCATCATCATCATATTCATCAAGAGCAAGATGAAGAATCCATTTCTCTAAGTGGGCTCGTCTTAAACTCCGACGAAGTCGAATTCCAAGGCCGGCGTAGGTCTTCTTCCTCCGCCGATCTCTCCGAGGTTTTCGAGTTCCTCAGCGACGGTAAAGATTCAGAGATGTCTCATGCGGAAGACATCATTGTCGCCGGCAAACTCATCCCTTATAAAGAACGCCGCCCTCATCAAAACCTATCAAACACTCAGAAGAGCTTCCATAGCCGGCGATCGGAATCCCTAAATGACCTGAAAATTAGCCGGCCGATGAGTGCTAAGGAACACCATCAGCTCATGAGGAATAGCCGATCTCTAGACTACCAGAAGTTGTACGGAAATCCGGGTTCCATGAGGTGGCCGGAAAAGTCGGAGACTACTAGAAGTTCATCCACTAAGAGCTGCGGCGCCGCCGCCGCCGCCGCCGCCGTTAGTCCGGTAACTAGGCCGTCAAAGTGGTACATGTTATTTGGACTAGGAAAATTTCCACTTGAGATGGATTTCCAAGATATGAAGAACCGGCAAGCGGCACGCCGGAATAATAATAATAATAACACTAATATTATTATTCCGGTGGCCGGAGACGGAAAGGCGTTAGTGAACCGGGTTGATCGCCGGCGGTGCTCAAGTTCTAGTTGGGACCTTCTCAGAGTGTTAAGTTGTAAAGACCATGCAAGCGTTGCGGTAACGTCGCCATTTGGTCGCCTCCAAGAAATTTGACCAAGTCTTTCTTCCCACTGTGACATATATGCCCCTGTAGAATTTGGGACGGGGGTTGATCGAATGAAGGGTACGATGGGGTTTTTGTGACTTCGCTTGGAAGATAAGGGAAAATTATTATTGTTCATGATGAGACAAAATCAATATTGTTCGAGTGATATTGATGATGATGTATTTAATGTTTATTTATTTATTTTAATGGTGTGATGAAGAATTTGTCTTGCCGTGCATGAAATGGGGCCATTTGGGTGTAATTTAATGGAGATCACGAGGGTCCCGAGAGGCCGATATGATGATGGATGATATGAGAAAAAAATTCTATTCTATGTTTTGTGTTGTTTGGTAAGAACTTTTTGAGAAAATAATTTGATCTTAGCTTAGATTTGTGAGTCCGTATCTAGTGCACCCGGATATACTGTATATCTCCACCAAACATACGCATTACACGTGCTCAACATTTTTTACATTTACATTAAATGCACAAACAAAATTGTTTTCATCCATTTTACTGTTTTCATCCTCACGCACAAACACACACAATTGCAGGTTATCCATAATTTATCCACAAGTTGTAAACTGGTTATCCAGAAGGGGTAAACTGGTTATCCAGAAGGTGTAAACTGGTTATCCACAAGTTGTAAATTGGTTATCCACAAGGCGTAAACTGGTTATCCAGAAGGTGTAAACTGGTTATCCACAAGTTGTAAACTGGTTATCCAGAGGTAAAGAAGCAAACGGCATGTCAATTGGGGGGCTTCAACCCCCATGATAAACTAAACGACTCCCACAGCTACTGGAATCGCAGGTCACCAACCTACCCCGGCTGCGCCGCTCCGCCGAACACGCCAATATAGCTAAGGTAATCCTTTTTTTGTGTGTGTGTAAGGAGAGTGTGTGTGTGTGTGTGTGTGTGTAAGGAGAGTGTGTTATTGCGTTAAGAGGGGACACAAATTAACTAAACGACGGGGCGGTGCACCGCCGGAATTTGCAGGGACACCGGAAATGGGTGAATTCCAGCAAATTGTATGGACAGCTAGCTACATAGAAGCACATCTAAAAAAGTATGGATAACCAGTTTACACCATGTGGATAACTAGTATAAAATAGGTGGATAACCACAAACAAAGTTTGGATAACCAGTTTACAACTTGTGGATAACCAGTTTACACCTTTTGGATAACCAGTATAAAATAGGTGGATAACCAGCAATTATAGCATGGACAACCATCACATAATATTGTTGTTAATTAAAGAAGAAAACTGTGTATGTGAGCTGAATTATCTAGCGGACTCACGCTATTCTAAGAGAGTAAAGTACACGCACAAGAGGGTACACGGTGCCCTCAGGTGTACCATATAATTTGTCAGATTTGTCACTTTGTTTGGGTATAATTCTCTCTTTCTTCGAGTCGGTTAGCCTTTTATTCTCTCAAACAGAAAGTATAGCTATGAGAGTATATTATTATTTATTTTATAGAATTTCGGATTTTGTTATGTAGTAAAAAGAAAGTATTTGAATGTAATATGTACACATTTAGAGTTACTTTATACTCTCGTCTCATAATTATTGTTCAATTTAAATTTTTATTTCTAGTTCAAATTGTACTAAAAGTGAAATCTCAAACTGGACAATAATTTTGGGACAGAAGGAGTACTTTGCATCGTAACAAATTTTGATAATTATAAATGTAAGTGTGTCTTTCACTATCTTTTTGTGCTCGATTTCCCCATCACACATTGGACATAAAATTTACCATTCTCCAACATCTATGCAAGCTAACTTAAGATTGCACATTCTAATCATGAATGAAACTTTTGTAATATTGGTTTAGGATGGGTAGAAGTGTTGAATTGATTGGTAATAGTACGAAATTGTAATTGTGAGTTGAGAGTTAAAACCTTGTGTAGACCAATTAGAAAAATTGCTAACTATTTTCAAATTAAGGTAAGTTATGTTCTTGTTTCAATCGAAAAAATAAATTCATGTGCATACATATCAAGTAATTAAAATGATCATGTGCTAAAAAAATATCGCGATTCATTATATGCATGATTGCGACTTATTACAAATAATTACAATTTATTCATATTCTTCTTGAAAATACATATTGTAAGTAATGATTTTCTTGTTATATAATTGTTGAAATTTATATTATGTTGTAAAATAGTGTTGGCAATATAATGTTGCATACAAATGTGCATCAATGAATATGGCATTTGGTTTACTTGTAATATTTCGACAGCAAATAATACCAAGCACCTAAGTATACCTCAGTGCGTGTATCATATTTTGTGCAAAAAAAAAGTGGAGTTTTTTTTCCCGAAATACATGACTCCACACGCGCATTAATTAACCAAATCATCAGTTTAATTACATGATCACAAAACATGATCCATGCATTGGTTTAAACTTTGAACGGTTAATTTGGGATACCTTTATCCTTATCGTTACTGAACAATTTTACAATTCTGAAAAAGTTTTGCAACATTCGGAATGTTCTTCAATCTAAAAAATTATTTACAATGGAAGGTGAAGATTTAGACAACAGATCAGATAGTAATTCCGGGGATGATGGTTGTGAAGATGACGCAACAGTTGCGGATATTACAGAAGAATATGTTGCCATAGAAGGTTTGTTGAATTGGAGTGTAAGAAATCGATGATGTTACTCCTGTTTCTTCAGCAATTGTTGTTAGTGATGATAGATCTTTGGTTGAAACTGATAATCAAAGACGTGAATCTTTTGAAGATATTATGATCAGATTGATAAAATGTTATAGTTTTGTAAGTGATTATTGCAATCGTTGTTAAGGTACATTTACTTTATACCTGATGAACAACAATGATTTATCAATGTTTTGTAGGTACCAGTGTGTGATATGATAGTTTGTCAGATGAATGTATATATTTATCTAATGAATGTCAAGAGTAATGATTGTATATAGCTATCGATGAATGTGTGTTACACTATTAATGAATATTGTACGTATATACAATGAATAATATCGATGAATGTGATTGTACGACACTCCTGAGACCTATTTCTCCATAATATACTCGAAACAACAGCAACACAAACCACCGCTTGAACTTATCACCATAAACATGGTTAGTTACATATTCCGGACTAGGTTATTTGCCTTTAATCGGCATCTTTTTCCCAACTAGATGATTTATAAGTTTAAAGGCTGTTGGAGCTCTCTTCTTTGGATCAAATCCAAATGTTTCCCTCATTTCTTTCACCTCGAGGTATTCGTCACTAGGCTCACCCTAGGGTGTGTTTGTCATTCTTTACAGGATGAAGAACAGTATTCACCACGCAATAAAATGAATGTTCAATTACATGATAACAATGAATAATATATATGTTAAGGATAAATCTTTTAAGTGTTAAATGTGTAGAAATTGTTTTTTCACAATAATGATTTTCGAGTTCTTTAACGATGATATTCTATTCATTATTGATGAATATATGATTTTTAAAGATGTTTATACAACAATGACTATGAAAGCTGTTATGTATTCTCAAATATTTAAAAGATAACTATACTTACAGTAATGAATATTGATGCTATATCGATGAATTAGAAAAAACTGCTTGTGGATATAAGGAAGATATAACATATTATCTCAATCTTGTTGCAACCTTGTTAATGAATAAATATGCATACAATAATGAATAACGATGGCAAAAAATTAGCCAAAACTACTTGTGAATATAAGGAAGATAGTACTATATGAATAATGAATAACTATGTATACAGTAATGAATAACAATGATAAATTGATTCATTAGCAAAATCTACTTCAAGATAAAATGTAGACATAACATAATAATTCGATATTCCAACCTCCAAATAACAAAAGTAACCAAAAGATTTCAAGGACGAAATAGTTGTATCAGATAACATTCCAAAGTTCCCTACACTATGCTCAAGTCATGATCATGATCAGAATCTAGTCATTCATTCCAGTGTATAATTTCTTCATTTCCTCGGTAATGCTCGGTGATTTTGTGTTGACGTCTGAAGTTACCGATTCTGCCAAATATTTTATCCTTAGCTCCTGATACTCGGCTTGCTGCAACCTATGGTTGTTTCCCTTTATCCCTTACTGATATTTATGTCAATAACGGGCAACATTAACAAACAAATAAGTAACACATTAGCGGTGTAATGAATATCTTAAATTCGCATGATGAATAACCATATTTGATGAACAAAAGTTGATGAACAATTATGAACAATGAATAAATAATACATTGTAGTTGATTAACAACGAAGTTGATAAACAACATCTAAAATAATATGACGAAAAGTAGTGTTGTTGATGAACAACAGATGTCATTTCAATAACAATGAATAGTTTGACAACATCTAAAATAATGAATAACACAGTCTATAGTAATGAATGACAACGATGATTAACATTCTTATTACAGATGAATAATATCTATGTAAACAATGACTAATGAATAAATATATCAAATTTATGCACAACCATTTGTACACGAATGCAGAAACCATAGATCTACGTATTTCAATGATGAATATTGAATACGAACTAATGAACGACGCACATATCTATTATTATTCCCCACAACCAAAAAAAAAAAAAAAATCAATGAACAAAACTTTAAAATTAATGAACGAATATATGTATTTGAACGTATATACATCAGATCTACAGAATCCATCAAAAAACACATGAAACGAATTGATGAATAATACCCAGATTTATAAATTCTTTACAGAATCAACATCTAATCGATAAGCCAAAATTAAAACCGGATGAACACACATCATTAATCGAGCGAATATACTTTATATCTACATAACCAAAAAAAAAAAAAAACAAATCAATCGCTATATAGAATATTAGTACTACCTCTTGTGTTCTTCATCCTCCGATTTGCTCTCACCCGATTCCGAATCCACAACCATACACCTCTGCGTGAATTTTTCAGCGAAAAACAACAATGATGTAAATTGATTCATGTAATAAACACACAGAACCTATGAATTTGTCAATAAATTACCTTAATTCTTATCTTGAGTATATTATCTTGTAACCAGAATGACGGGTTTTGATGCCAACCTGATTCTGTCTTTGAAAGTATCGTCGATGGGAGCTTTTGTTGCTGTATCACTACAGGATTAGGTTTTTTATTTTTCGGATATTTTGGTTTGAGACGTAATGGATTGAATCTAGTAGGAAGATTGATTTTGATAATGGCCGGAATTTAGGAGGAAACGACGGTTATCGGGATATGAAATTCTAAAAATCGCGTAAAAAGCAGGATTAAACAGGTGCGTGTATTTTACTCAAATGGCAGTCTCATAAATAGTGGTAAATTTTATATTTTTCAGAGGGCGACTTTCACACTACCTAGGTGCTTTATATTATAATTTCTATTTCGATATGTTGCAATTTATACTTGTCATTACTCT